GGTTCCACTATAGTTGGGCTACTCTAAGACTTAGTTCTCTTATCTATAAAATGAGGATAATAATAGTACCTAACCTCTTGGAGCATAAAATATATATCTAAGGCACTTAAAACAGTGCCAGGAGCATGGTAAGTGTGTTTGTAATTACTATTACAATGGTTCACAGTCCTTCAAAATAGTGTTAACTACCAGAAGCCCCCAAACCAAAAATTTTTCTGTAACTTATTTGGTGCCAAATAACTGCTCTGTCTTGAATGCATTTGTTAATAAAATCTGACCTGAGTAAATACAAGGCTACTTACAGTCTTTATTTATCCCATTCATTGTGAATATACATACATTTTGCTGCAGGTATCTTAAATGTGTTTGACTATAGAATGCTGTCTCAATTCACTGTGATGTATTTATTAACTTCCTAAAATCTTAATAATTCTAAATTTTGAAACACATTCAAGCCTACAAGTTTTGGATAAAAGACTGTGGATCTATATTACCTTTGAAGCTTGAAAAGTTTCTATTTACTTAAAATAAATGGCATCATCTTAAATAACCACAAGATCATAACCCTAATAGTCTTAGTAGTAAAGCGTATTAGCAAGAAGAAAACATGTCCTGGTACAGTTAGGAGGGCCTACACTATTTCCAGGATGTTCAAATATAATCCATTTGTAATATTTTATTTACATGTCACAGTAGTCAAGAGTTTTCAAATTCTAAATTCTAGAGCTTGCTTAAACAAAGTCTATTCTTATCACTAAGATCACAAATAAATATTTAAGGTTCTTTAGGGGGCATAAATGTGCCTTGAATCATGTATACCAAATCATCACAGAAACTTCAGAGCTGAAAGAAGACTCTTAAGAATTAATGTAAACTATTATCCCTTCTCTTCCAAACTGTTTTATCATTCATAAATTTGTTCTTCCTTATGAGGTAGGAATAACCTGCCCTAACTTGTCCTTAGACTTTGTCTACAAGAACACCCTGCAGGTAAACGTGAATAAACTGGGTGGAGTATACTGGCAGACTAGAGATCTAAAAGGATGATTTGAATCTAACACAACCAATCTTATAAATTCAATAAATGTCTCAGGTTATACTTTAGAAAATGACAAGAATTTCTAAGTCCAGAATGAAGGAAGACTCATCTAGAACATATTGATAAATAAATAAATAAAGATTTAGCTATCCTAATGGATTCAGTGAGTCAACTACATGATATGCCTGCCAAAAAAAGCTACTGTGATTAGGGACTAACCACATCAACAGCAGAATCCCATCCAGAAAGAACAAGGCAACCGCCTTCTCTGGTATGATCTAGTTTGAACGCATCTGGAGTATTACATTCAGCTCTGTTCCACATTCTGGGAGAGACAGAGAAAGACTGAAAAAGACCAGAAGAGGGGTGACCAGGATAGTGAGGGAATTTGAAACCATGTCTCATAAAGACCAGTTGAAGAAGTTATTTAGCCTAGACTCAGCAGAGGCTAGATCACTGTCCCCAAATCCCTAAGAACTATCATGGCACAGAGATAGTTGACTTACTCTGCATGACCCCAAAAGGCAGAATCAGATTAGTCAGTTAACTACAGGGAGAAATATTTCAGCTAAGCCTATGCAAATATTTCTTCAAATGTAGGGCTACATAAGGAGGTAGTGGCTTCTTAGGTCCTGTCTAACCCTAAAGATCTATACTTTTAAAAATAAAACATTTGTCTTTACTCTCTCCTGTCACAGCATCTCCCTTCAGCCTGTTGTTTGAAATTCAGCCAACCAATCAGCTGACTGTTTTGCCAGGTTTGGGGAGGAAAGTGCCTGCTTACTGGCTCATTAGTTTCAGTTTGCAGATCAGTGTCCCTGTAAACAAAAGAGGACCCTAACTGAGGGGCAGACAAGAGCTCTCAGCTAGATCCCTATGGAAGAAATTCTTATTAATTCAATAAGCAGCTATAAGACCTATCCAACCAAACAATATATTATCAATGGCACCCAGTCCTTACAGGAACATTGAAATAAAAAACCTGTATAACCATCTTCCCAAATGCCAGGTAATCTAATTTTGCAAGCCAAACTAATTCTCTCAAATTCAATTAGAAGTTTTTCTTCTGCCAAAGAGACATGTTTACTGTTTAAAGTAGGTTGGAACCCAGGTTCACATAAAAAGTCATACTTGGGCTTGGCGCCTGTGGTTCAGTGGTTAGGGCGCTGGCCATGTACACCAAGGCAGGCAGGTTCAAACCCGACCCAGGCCAGCTAAAACAATGACAACTGTAACAACAACAATAACAAATAGCTAGGTGTTGTGGCGGGAACCTGTAGTCCCAGCTACTTGGGAGGCTGAGGCAAGAGTATCGCTTAAGCCCAAGAGTTAGAGGTTGCTGTGAACTTGACGCCACAGCACTCTACCAAGGGCAACATAGTGAGATTCTGTCTCAAAAAAAAAAAAAAAAGAAATCCATACTTGACTATAACACTATACAGTTAAAATTGCCTATCAGTAGGCCCACAGTCAGTTCAGCTGCTGAGAACTAGATACAGACAATCCAGAATGAATTCACAGAAAAGTACAAACTACAGAATATTTAAAACACAGGTAGTTATCAAAGTTGGACATTCTTCTATAACTTTTGTCACCCAAAGATCACCATAGACGTAAGTATAATGTTAGTCCATGGCAATTACTGAAAGCTTTGAACAACAGTTCTGATGGCAAATATTAATCAATCTAGCTTTACTTTCTTTGAAATTGATCTGGATTCTAAGAAACTTCAAAGCGAGAGAATATGAATGTATTATGGCCTTAGTAAAAACACCGTGCTTTTTAAAGTGAAGCCCGGAAGCAATCCAGGTGTCTATAAATAAGGGATTGGTTAAATAAATTATAGTACATTCTTACAATGAAAAATGCAACTGTTAAAAAGAAGGTAGAGCCTAGGTACTGACATTTAAAAAGTCCATGATACATAATTAAATGAATATCGCAAGTTCAAAAACGAGTATGTATAGAATTATTCCATTTTGATTTTTGAAAATATATTTTTAAATATCCTGTCTGCACATTCATATACGCCCAGCAAAATGTTTGATGAAAGATCCGACAAACTACTAACAGTAGTAACCTCCAGGGACTGAATGGAAGGGGGAGGCAGTCAAGGAGTGACTTTCACTTTTTCCCTTCTAGACATCTGATTGTTTGTATTTTTTTGCCAGTAGGGGTTACCTTTGTGGTTTAAAAATAACAATACAAAAATAATAAAAGTAAAATAAATACAGACTCATTTTATCAGATACTAACTAAAGTGATCTTGTTACTTAAGTGCTACTGTGGCTTAAAATTCCTGAAAATCTAATTTGTCCTTTTTCTATTATATTTTACTAAAACAAGTAAAAATGACAAGTCCCTCCTAGTTTTCTCAAATGCTTTCTACACACGCACGCGCGCATGCACACACACACACAAAAGGCCCAGGCCTACTCATAAAGCATAGCTAACCTGGTGCTAATTCTGCACCAAGACCCCTTATAAGCACTATAAATGTATTAATTTATTTAATCTACATACCAATCCTATGAGGTAAGTACTCTTACTAACTTCATTGCACAGTTGAAGAAACTGAGGCCACAGAGAGGTTATGTGAGTTGCCTAAGTTTACACACCTGATAAGCAGCAGAGCTAGGATTCAATCTCCACTGTTCATACTCTCAACCACTATGCTTCTTGTCTGTCAGTTATGTCCATCTCTCTAAACGAAGGCCAAAAAGGGTTACAAGTAAAACCTAGCTAGTTAATACATTCCTTCAAGTTGGAAGAGACGCAAACTTGGCTTTTTACCGGTGAATAATTGGCATTACTACATGACTGCTAAGCTCCAATACAATTCAAGATTGTATTAAAGCTCATAAATAACCATGTGAGAAAATAGTCTACAAACTCTAGGTCCAAAGTCCATACCTGATTGCACAGTAAATCACTGAGCCTAAGATTTAGGTCAGAGACCCAGCTACACAAATGGTTTGGACCAATCTCCACCCCAACTCAAAGCAAAACAACTCAGAAACTCTTGCCTAATATCTTAACATGGTAGGTTTTGTTTAGTTCCAGGCCCATCCTAGACTTAAAAGGAGAAAGAATAGCAGGCGTCTCTAACTTTGTTTGAAGACTTCAACCAGTAGAAAGTGCCTTATTTTCTACATGAACTCAAACAGAAATTGATACTTATCAGCATCAGCAAAATTGAACCTTCTAGCTTAAGAAGACAAAAATGTGCATCCTTGCTTAAACTGTGTATTTGACCAAACATACTGACCTTGTAATTGAGGAAGAAAAAAAAAATGGTGCAAGGAAGGGATTTAACCTAATTTATAAACGTGCTCAACCTAGATACACACCTGTCCCAAATGACCTACTGAATCCAGTTATTTGCCGGGAAACCATGGATTACAATGCCTTTTTTAATTTTTGTGTTTTTGGTCAAAATGGTTGGTACTACTCTTTGCAAGTAAAATCCTCTCAATATCTCTTCCACCTGTCACACACGTATCTGATATTTACATAAACAAGGAGAAATGAACAAGGAAATTGGAGCTTTGAAAGGAATCCCTTATACTGAGCTTTTGACCCATTGGTAGAAGGAGGTACTATGCTGACTTTGAAACTTCCCCCAAATAACCCAAGCAAAGTGGCTGGGTGAGAGAAACCAACCCAGAAGTTTGCAACCATTCTGGGTCTCTGACAAAGGCCAGAAAAGCCCTGTTTGGGAGGAGATGCGGTGCCTTCCACACAGCATCCACCCTCCCGAGGGAGCCCAGCCCGGGGGACAAAAGACTTTCCAGATCAGGAACGGTGGGGCTAGCTGGAGCTTGGGAACCGAAATCTGGGGAACCTCTGAGGCAAAAATGATAAATTACAGCCACAAGACCAACCCTGGAAGCCAGGGGCTGGGGTAAGGATGGGCAGCCGCTGGGGAGGGTCCTGCCAGTGAGGAAGCTCTGGGACTCACCTGGGGGAGGCGGAGAGGGCGCCTCGGTGGCAGGTGGGGTGGGCAGGACGCTGCTGCTGTTGCTGGGGAGAACGGAGGTCAGGGTCCGAGGAGCAGTGGGCGCCGGATCGGTGGTGGCTACAGGGGTGGTCAGCGCCGGGCCAGTGGTCGTCGGAAGGATGGTCGGCGCCAGAGGGGTGGCCGAAGTGCGCTCCGCTGAGGAAGAGGTGGTCTGCGAGGGGCCAAGCGGCGCCTGAAAGGTGGTGGAAGCAGGTCCGGCTGACGCCCGAAGAGGGGTAGTCTCCGGAGACCGGGCTGAAGAGGTCGCAGCCAGGGGTCGACGGACGGTAGTGCGCGGGGGTCCGGTCCTCCGGGCCTGGGCCGTGGGAACTGTCACCTTAGGGAAAGTATAGTTGGGCTCGCCCCGCAGCCCCGGGCCCGGCGACGCGTCCACCTGCCCCACCGCCCCGCCACCACCGGTGACATTCTCCGCCGAGGCGGCTGAGGCAGCGGCGGCGGCCGCGGCGGCGCAGCACAACAGGGCGAGGCCGCCCAGGCTCGGCAGGCTCCTCATGGCGCGCTCGGCTTCGCCATTCATTCATTCAGCCAGTCGGTTGGTCAGTCATCTTCTCCTCCCTGCAACCCGACCGAGGAAGCCGCCGCAGCCGCAGCCGCCACCGGGATCACCATCGCCACCTCCCTCTGACAGGCGGCCGGCCCCGCGGGCGGGCCCCAACGCGGAGGGAGAGACCGGACCCAGCGCGGACAGCCCGCCCTCCTCGATTGGCAGCCGCGCCTAACCAATGGGAACTCACGACAGCACACGTGATCCACGCGCTTCCCGGCCTCTTTGTAGCCTCGCAGACCAATCAAAGGACGTCCAGGGGAGGGGGCGGTACGTAAGGCGGGAGAAGGGTGGCGCGAGCCCAGCTCTAGCCCGCCGGGTTCGCGGTGGCTCCGGCTTTGTCTACCTAAGGAACCGGGTGCGGGCCTCGGGCAGCGGGCACCGCGGAGCAGACAAAGGGCGCGCCCCGCACGGGCAACGCTGGGCCAAGTCATCTGCTCCACGGGGCTGTGAGCGCAACCCAAGGCTAGAAACCCACTCTCGGGAGCGTCCCCGCCCTCTTGAACAATGGGGCGCTGGCGTCGCACCCGGGCTCGGGCGGGGACTGGGCTGGAGCCCCGCGATGGGCCAGGGCAGCAGCAGCGAGGATGTAGAGCTCAGCATTCCCTGTACTGCTGAAGAGAGCCTGGCCTCTGCCCTGGGAAGTCTCTGCTTTCATTCCTATTTCAGAGATGGGGAAACTGAGGCCCTTATCAGGGGCCTCCCCGAACCAAGACCCTGAGCCGTCACCGAGCCCCTGCTGTGGGCCAGGTGTCGTGCCAGGCTGGACGACAGGGTCTGGAGACACTTCAGGAGCCAGAGATGGAAACATCTAGCGTGGGGGAGACAGATTCACATGAGCACTTTACCCTAATCCCTGGGAAGAATAGGATTCGACGGGGTTGAACCTCAACTTCATGTCTTTTTCTGAGTGGTTGTGTAGCCCAATCGCAGTTTTTTCACCACTAAAATGGAAATGGTACAACACCCCCACCCCCTCACAGAGCTATTGAGAGAATTAAGTAATGTACGTAAAGGGCTTAACCCAGCGGCTGGCCCGCTGTTGGTAAACCCTCATTAATGCTAACTACTCTCAGTGTACGGTGTCAGGACAAGCCTAGGATTAGAAAGCAGCCCTGGGCCACAGCCCCGCTGTGTCCCTAGAGTCCCCGCTTGTTGCAGGGATTGGGGTGGGGTTGATAGAGCTTGACCCTGGATGACACTAAACTCTGGATGAAGCTGGAATTCGGACGCGGAGCCTCGCACCATCCGCCCAGGCTAGAGCTAGGTCAGGCGCTGCCGCCTCGTTCAGCAGCTTCCAAGGGGAGCCAGGCGGGGCGGGTTTGTCATCTGATGGGGTTTAATCCCAGCCTCACCGCTAACCCAGTTCTGGCCTCTGCTACGTGATGTTTGCCTTTGTACATGTTTCCCATCAGTCACTGGCCTCCAACCAGACCGGCAGGATGAGATTTGTGTGTGAACTTGTGAATGTTAATGAGAGCATTCATTTATTTACCTGTATGAGTGGGGCGGGGGGAGGCTATGTGTGTTCTTGTGTATGAAAGCATAACCATTTTTGTAAGCCTGGGTGTATGAATATTACAGGCATCTGTGTGAGTTTGTGAGAATTAGTATCTGTTTTCATATGTGTCTTCATCTGTATGTGCGTACTTTATATGTGTTTTCTGTGTTTTTGCATCTGTGGTTATCTAAGGTTGTGTCCTGATGGGTCTATGTATGTAAGAGGGGAGGAGGGTATGGATGGGAAAGAGGTTCAGTGTTCTGGTTTCAGGACCAATATTTAGCAAGCTCTAACCCATGTTCTATTTTTACTTCTCCTTGGGAAGGGGATGGGCAGGTCATGCCCTTTTCCTATATTTGCTTGCTGATTTCTCTTGGCCCTTCAAACCCCAACCAAAATGTCACATTATCTAAGAGACATTCCTGGATTTCTGAGTGGGAATTAATCTCTCCCTCCATTTCCCCACTGCCTTTTGTTTATTCATTGATTACAGCCCTACTCTATCAATTTACCTCTCCCCTGCTTCTTCCTAAAAGGATTAAGGATGGCTTTCAGAAATATATACAACAGGATAAATTGAACTGCCCACATGGCTTTATTACTTCTCACAGGCATGTATCAGTCTTAATACTAGAATTTGTGATTTATCTGTCTGTCTCTTCCATCAGCTGTTCTTTCTGTTCTCAGTACTTAGCAGGGGCTATGCATATGAGCACAGATTCATGCCAGTTAAGTTGAATTAAATTGAAAGGAGATCCTGCAGTGCCTATGGGAAGAGCTTGTGTCTTTAGAGCCAGCCATGTCTGAGTCAAGACTCTGCCAACTGTGTGAACTTAGAGGAAAACTTTCACATCTCCAAGCCTCAGTTTTCTCATCTATAAAATGAGACCAATAAATCCTTTCTCAATTAGCAGAGCTGAGACTTGAAGAGAATGTTTTTACAGAGCGTGGCACACAGACAATGTTCAGTCTCTATAAATTCATATTTAAGTTCTGTCATTGCTAACTGTGAGCTTTATGGGCTAAAGGACCAGAGCAGAAACCCATCAGGTAATTTCCCCCTTAGGTAACATGGTCTGACAGTTGCCCTACCAGATATCCCCAAATGATATCTGAAAAATGCTGAGTTGGCCCTGAGCTATGCTGTATCAGAGAATCTCTGGCAATAGAGAAGAAAAGCTGATGCAGCTTCTTCACCAGGAGAATCACAGCAAAGAACTAGAAGACCTTGCTGAAGCAATCCAGACCAGCTCCCTGCCTCTAGCAAGGATCACCCATGCTGGGGCTTCAGGGATGGGATAATTAGCCTGTAATATGTATAGAAAATGTTGAATTTTTTTCAAAGATAATTTAAGTGTGTTAATGTTGATTCATTTAAAATTTAATTCTTAAATTTGTTTCTCTGCCTTAAAAGATGACTTTTTTATTTCTTAGGAATAAAATTTTACTTTTGTCTAAAAACTGGAAACACCTTAAATATCTGACATCAACGGAAAATATTATTATATCTGTTCTATTTAGTTATATAAAGTTATTGTAAGGGTGGTTATGAAGACAGGATAGCAAATATTGTTAGTAGATAATTTTTTACTATGATATTATATCTAAAAGCTACACATGAGCTCGGTGCCTATGGCTCAAGCGGCTAAGGCGCCAGCCACATACACCTGACCTGGCGGGTTCAAATCCAGCCCGGGCCCTCCAAACAACAACAGCCCCAACCAAAAATAGCCGGGCGTTATGGCAGGCGCCTATAGTCCCAGCTACTTGGGAAGCTGAGGCAAGAGAATCGCTTAAGCCCAGGGGTTGGAGGTTGCTGTGAGCTGTGATGCCACAGCACTCTACCCAGGGCAACAGCTTGAGGCTCTG